AACTATAGTGATGATATTTATCATAATGACTGGTAACTATAGTGATGGCATTGATCATAGTTGCTGGTTACTATAGTGATCGTATTGATCATAATGCCTGCTAACTATAGTGATGGTATTTATCATAATGCCTAGTATCTATAGTGATGGTATTTATCATAATGCCTGGTCACTATAGTGCTGGTATTGATCATAATGCCTGCTCACTATAGTGATGGTATTAATCATAATGCCTGGTAGCTCTAGTGATGATATTAATCGTAATACCTGGTTGCTACTGTGATGGCATTGATCACAATCGCTGGTTACTATAGTGATGGTATTGATCATAATGCTTGGTAACTAAAGTGATGGTATTGATCATAATGCCTGGTAACTATAGTGATGGTATTAATCGTAATACCTGGTAGCTACTGTGATGGTATTGATCATAATGCCTGGTAACTATTGTGATGGTATTGATCATAATGCGTGGTCACTATTGTGATGGTATTGATCATAATGCCTGGTAACTAAAGTGATGGTATTGATCATAATGCCTGGTAACTAAAGTGATGGTATTGATCATAATGCCTGGTAACTAAAGTGATGGTATTGATCATAATGCCTGGTAACTATAGTGATGGTATTGATCATAATGCCTGGTAACTATTGTGATGGTATTGATCATAATGCCTGGTCACTATTGTGATGGTATTGATCATAATGCCTGGTAACTATAGTGATGGTATTCATCTTAATTAAGGCCTTGTAACTATTGTGATGGCATTGATCATATTGCCTGGTCATAATGCCTGGTAACTATAGTGATGATATTAATCATAATACCTGGTAACTACTGTGATGGCATTGATCACAATTGCTGGTTACTATAGTGAAGGTATTGATCCTAATGCCTGGTAACTATAGTGATGGTATTGATCTTAATTAAGGCCTTGTAACTATTGTGATGGCATTGATCATATTGCCTGGTAACCGAAGTGATGGTATTGATAACACCATACAGTCTTGTAACCATAGTGATGCTATTTGACACACCATACAGTCTTGTAACCATAGTGATGATATTTGACACACCGTACTGTTTTGTAACCATAGTGATGATATTTGACACACCAAACTGTTTTGTAACCATAGTGATACTATTGATAACGCCATACAGCCTTGTAACTTAAGTCATAGTATTGGCAACTCTGGTAATCATAGTGATTGTAAGGTAGTAGAGTTGTGTCCAATTATTTCATTAGTTTGATGGGGTCAAACTGGGGAAATGTCTGGACTATAAACGTGATTGGCTGACCTTCCACCTTCATGCCTCTGTAACAGGACCCAGGGGAATACATGTATAATTATGCATCAACATCAGATCATACAATGTTAGATAGTTAGGGCTATCTGGCATACTATCCAACCCCAGAACGAGATAGTGATATTCCAGGCTGTGTTAATGGTGCTAGTGTTTCACCAATAGATCTTCTATCAAGACTAACCAGTCCCTTTGTCCAGCTATAACTGAGTGAGCAATTTGTATTGTTTACCTGTATAATGATGTGGCGAAATTGTTAACTTTATTTGTCACTCAACTATGGAATATTTCACCTATCAATAGAGACTATATACACACTGTATTGATTAGGCCCCTGGTAAGGGGTAGATCTAGCCCCCTTACCTATTTAGGTCAGAAGTGGGTCATACAATTGAATTAGCTGGTGTCCCTCTCATCTCTGATCATGTTTTGAGATTTGTTTTTGATTTTGACCCTTTTCACTATTTAGGCATTGTCTAAGTAGACAATGTAATTTTAGGTATTAGCATAAGTCTGTTAATGCCAATTTCTTGTACTGCAGGGCGGCAGGTGTTTCCCATGTTTCTTGTGTATATATGATTGCTGACAATTTTATCAAGGAATTTGGTATATGACTCTTTATTTCTCTAGAATATTAGTCCTGTCTTTTTGGGTGCACAAGTAGCGGCCTGAGTGTTGTTATTGTTTTCATCAGGGTGCTGAATTTGTGTTTCTTCAATACATGGGCAAAGGCCTTGGATGTCCATTTCATGTTGGGGATTGCTATCCAGCTTTTGCATATGTTTTGACCCTCACCTTTTTTTATCTGTCTCTGGTCTCTGTTTGTCCGCCTTACATTTTATAGCTATTCACTTTGTTAAATGATCAGTCCGTTACCACATAAATTGAGCGTGTGTTTTATGTGCTGTTCCTCCCTGTGTGTATCGTCCTGCTCTGTGATGATGTTGTCGCATCTGTCAAGAGTGTACTATAACTCTCAAGCTTTTGGTGTAGTGGGTGACGTTAATTCAAAGCCAAAGACTGATCTGAGCCATATCTACACCCTACCATTTATCTATTCCATACAGTGTGTATATATGTACTCTCTGTTGATAGGTGATTAATCGATTGCAATTTTGTCGTTAAAGAAGTAAATTACAAATTGCTCACTCAGTCATAGCTTGAAAAAGGGACCAGTAGGTCTTGAATGTTGCACCATGTAAATTGTTTGTTAAAAAAGTAAAACCTTCATACATCCATATTTTCAAATTGATTGATCTAATTGAAGATATTGTTTCACATTTTTGTTGTAAATGAATATCAAAATTATTGAATATCTGGTTGATTTCAATTTTTTTAGATGTCCAAATTTCAACCCTTTTTTGCTCCTTAAACGTTCCCTAAAAGAGTCAGTTCTATTGATCCCTTTAGCAAATCTGAATCATCCTCATCTAGGAATACTTTCAAATTGGTTTGTTATCAGTCCTGCGGTTCTGGAGAAGATGTCATTCAAAGGAAATATTTTATAGAAGGAAAATGAATGACAATGCATTGCACCAACTCACCTGGTGGAAACAATTAACAAGCAAAGAGTTTACATATCGAAGGCAGTAAAACATATTTATTATGAACATGATTTATACACCCCATGCATCCCTGTTAAGTTCACATACAATTACATACAATTTACAAGTCGATTTCCTGTTGTATGGTCATAGACATGGACACTTGTACACCTAGATGTGCCCTTGGCTGTGTATGTGTGTTAGGGCATATGTGACCTATCCCACAGACAGATATCAGATACTGTGAAGCACTTATATAATTACTGTTCAATATGCAATGTTTCAAAACACCATATTTGTAAACTGGCATTATTAAAAATCTGATTTGAATTACTGAATGATTGCTCTCACAAGCTAACTCAAAATTGAATCTCTCATGAACTATTCCACAAAAATATGATTCCTAATTTTTGATAGAAATAAAATTTCACAGGTACGGTTGGTGCAAAATTTTAAAGAACAGCAGATTACTTAGCTGACGTAAGTTAAAGCCTGAAGTTAACCTAATAGGTCCAATATCAGTCTCATAATAATACCATATCAATCTGCGATCAGTCCAAAATTACTTGTCCCTCTCAATCTCAAAATAGTGTGCCTTCATTATCATTTCATTTTCACCCATTTATAAATTCACCCTTCACATAAAATTACAATGTATATTATGTTGTCTACAAATGTTTGCTGTAATGATTAATTTGCCTTCTTTACAGAGGGTAAAAAAGGCGAAAATGAAACTGCAGAGAAAAATTTCACGGTATACAGTAGTCAGGATGATTGAACTATACTAACCAACAATGTGTTCACTGGGTTACATCTGATCCATTTAGTGCCTAACAGTTTTAACATCTTGGTACATAGACTTAGACTATAAGCTACATATTTTCGTATATATTTGAATTTCTCGGCAGGATAACAGTGATAACAAGAACAGCTGCTGTTATAATTGAACAGATCACAGTGTAACAAATAACAATCATCGTAATGTTCAGCTTCCAGACACATTATGCAATTTACCAAAGCAAATGAATATACATGTACATGTAAATAAAATGCCTACCTTATATAAATAATAAATATAATGGTATTCAACAACATACACAGCGATACTGTAGATCCATACTAGACACTGCATCTTCCAGCATAGCCAGTACTTTCAAGAATCCCCCCCCCCCCCCCCCCCCCCCCCCC